AAAAAATATGAATGCTACTGAATCATTATTTAGGAGTCAAAATTACAAGCGATATTGACTCACATTCTTGGGATTTGCTGATGACTGGATTTCGTGTGCAGCCTTCAGTGCAAGCAATCCTCCATCATCATGACCAACAAGTACAACTGAGGAAAACCCCATTGATGAGCAAAAAGAAAGAAGCAGGTCAACCTGAAATGACCAAAATAAAATGTTTAACTTGAGACTCAAGTTGAAAAATCGAAAAAGAAAACAAAACAAGTTCGACAGAGCTATATTCAAAAGCATAACAGATGGATTAGTTGACTTAAAGGCAAATACAACATAATCTCATTTGCTTTAGAAGAAGGACATTTTAAAATAGAAATATTGCAGTTTGGGCCATAGGTGTTTGAAAATGCACTAGCAAATGCGTACATGTGCATATGGGCGTGAATAAGAAGACTTATCAAAAAAGGGATCGAAATGCAAATCAGTCTAGTTTATTTAGATTCTTAAAATATTGAAATAGGCATTCAATGCAAGGAAAAATAAGATGTTGTATTAACAGTGCGGAAATGAACTAAGATGATTTCTGTTTTAAGACCTGATTTGCGAAATAAGTCAAAACCAGTGATCCTGGAAAAGAAAACAATGGTAATTCATTCGGAATACTTTTCTTCCCATTGGCATGTTCCCACTTTTGTTTATTAATTACGAGCATCCACTTTACATAGAAAAGGGAAAGGCATAGTTAAAATTTGCATACAACTCCCTGTGTGAGTGAATGTGTGTGTTGTGAAAGAGAGAACATAAGAAAGATGTGCGAGATTTGCAAAAGTTCTACCCATCTTGGATCCAAAATAACGACAACCTTCATAACCATGAATTTTTTCTAACTGTTCCAGATTTTATAATCTGTTCTAGTGAATTACTAATGCACCATATTAGATATATGCTCTGGAATTGGGTAGAAAAGTTGCTGACTATTACAACTTGCATTTTCTAAATTCGTAAATTTCTACCAATGCTCCTGGTGTACCTGCCAATGATACCACAACATACATATAAGAAAAAGAAATCACCTGATTATTAATTTTGTAAGGATTAGGTAATTGATTTTCCTCCCAATCCTTCCTGCATGGCCTTGATGTCAAACCCCAACCAGGCCTGTCAAAAGCAGCAACCACACAGCCAACCTGCTGAGCCAAAGTACCCATCACATTTCTCCACGAGAAAACTCCCCCTCCAAACCCATGCACTAACACTATTCCAAACTGTTCATTGGCTTCCAGATCTGCTTCTAAAGTCAAAGGCTCCAACTTTCTGAGTTCATCTTTGCCACTTTCATCAAGTCTCATCATAGGCACATCTTCAGAAAGCGGAGACACTGGAGAACCATCTAGTAGAGGAGTATAGAGAGAGAAGTTCCGAAGGAATTCATCACTGTTGCTCCTGTAAAGATGATATTGTGTTTTTGATGGAACACTTATCAATGGGCTGTTAGGAAAGGTAATGGATGAGAGGGAACGGCAAGACGGGCCAGGCATGCTTAACTTGTAGTGGATAGTTAGTCCGTGGCAAGTGATGAATAAGCTATCTCTATCAGCAAGTAATATAACTGGAAGTTCGCCTTCATAATGTGACAATCCTGGTGCTTCTCTCCTCATTTCAGAGTAGTTTCTGGAAGTCTTTCCAGCAGAAGGAGTGGGTGATCGTGGAACCTTCTGATAACCAGAGAAAGCAATTTTGCAAGAATGGACCTATTCAAGTAAATTGATTAGTCAAAGCTAACAATTTAGAAGAAATTTATAGTATAATGAACTCTAACTATAAACCACCCAATGCAACTAAAACTTTGAAGCAAGCTCATTCTCCAACTTAAAAGCTGACAAATTGAGCTAACATGACTATACAGCCAGTGCCAGTAAAAAAAATTTTGAAAACTACAATATACATAACTCATATGAACAGTATTTAGTTTAAAAATATTAAGCTGACTTCTACTAGAAAATCAAATTAACTTCATATACTCTACCATTTAGAAGACAGAACCAAATTTTGCTGAAATTATTGTCGTGTCCTCATCCACATGGCCTATGTAGAACCCTTCCAAGAGAGGGTCAATATAACCGATTGCCATGTCAAACAGATGAATTATGCCTTGCAATGACTCCTTGCCTTCGTGTAGCAACGTCATGTGGCTACCAAAGGCTAGGCCGAGGAAGAGTACATGATGACACAAAAACCATCAAAAATCTTCTCGACCCAGGACCTGGGTTCAGGAAGACATCGAGAATTTAGTCCTGCAAGTAAGATCCCAATCCCATCTTTGGAAAGCATTCCTTCTCATCAACTCCCTGACGAGGCCGAGGATATAATTTCCCCCAACCAAGAATAAATCTTCGTCCTAAGTCCTCAGCTTCACAGATACTTTTGATATTAAATATTGAAACTCAAAATCAAGCACGCAACAAAACATGCAAGACACTCGGAGGAGGTTTTAGGCAGCCAATCTCTGACGCTGTTCACAAAAGTCAAGAATTTGACATCTGACTGCAGACTTGACTATGTGAGGTGCAGAGAGTTTAGCTAGTCATCACAAAATACATGGATGAGTGCGGGGTTTTAAAGGTTCTCACCCTACCCTACTCTACTCCACCCCACTCCAAGCTCTATAAAAAGGGGCCTTCGACTTCATCCTCATCATCTTTGTCTCCAATACAAAAACTATCATAATACTATTCAAGCACACCACATACAGGCCATTTTAGAAGTTTTTTAAGCTTTCTTGTACATAAATTACCTTATTTAAATCACATTAAATACTTCTATCAACATGTCAAACCTTATGAAATTTGGCATCGACCTATTTGGGGCAACATATAATAAGATACAAACTTAAGGCAGGACAAATATTACAAACTTACGGCTTCTGGGTAAATACCATGAAACAGGAGCTTCCTCCTTGCTCTGCAGCTTGTTCGATATGCTACAACAATGTGCCCAAGAGCAAAAACTACAGAAGAGAGAAACAAGAAAGGCATCCCCCAAGACTTCTTCAGATGGAGCCTCTGCTTTGAAAGAAAAGTTGAATCTTCATCCTCAAAATTGACAGTGAAAAGACAAGCCTTTATGGAAAGAAAAATTATGGACTTGAGGGAACATAATGTTACAGTTCCTAAATATGGTCCATGTGAGAGCATTGGACCATCGCACATTGCATATACATCTGTTCCCATTTGACAAATCCACAAAAACGAATCAATTAGGCATCACGAAAAATTCATAAACAAATTTGATTCACTTGTGATTTCATCATGAAAAACTGCGTTCTGCACATTTCACTGTTTAGAAGTAGTTATAAGAAGACCAATTCGAGTTAATTAATTCATTTTACATTGATAAAAAAACTCCCAAGAATTTTCATAAACTTTCTTATGTAAATGGGAATAATATACTTT